AGATCATTCACTTATAAATCAGAAAACAAAACAGTAGGAGAGAAGTCTAAGGAAACGGGTTACTTTGAAGGTAAGTATATATATTTATATATATATGTTCTAGTTAGCGTTTTTTTGGCAAGTTAGTTTTTGGCGAAATGGGGTGGCCAACCCCATGTCCAACCCTCCTCCTTTACCCGGGCTTGGGACCGGCAGTAGCCCCGAAGGTTCTATCGCACAATCAACAACAAATGCAAGAGAAGGCGACCAGTGTAGCAGCAGCCTCTGCAGCAGTAGGTCTCAACATACGTAAAGGAAAAAGCAAAATTCTCCGACGCAACACAACATGCACAAACCAAATCACTCTTGATCGAGATGCCTTGGAGGACGTTGACACCTTTACATATCTGGGCAGCATCATCAACGAGAAAGGTGTATCCGATGCAGATGTGAGGGCGCGGATTGGCAAAGCTAGGACAGCATTTCTACAGTTGAAAAATATCTGGAACTCCAAACAAATAACAATCAACATCAAAATCAGGATTTTCAATACAAATGTCAAGACAGTTCTACTGTATGGAGCGGAAACTTAGAGAAGAACTACCAAAGCCATCATCCAGAAGATACAAGTGTTTATTAACAGTTGTCTACACAACAAAATACTTCGGATCCGTTGGCCAAATACTGTGGGACAGAACAAACCAGATTCCAGTGGAGGAGGAAATCAGGAAGAAGCGACGGTGAAACTGGACAGAACACACATACTACGAAAAGCACCTAACTGCATCACAAGACAAACCCACACATGGAACCCTCAAGGCAAAAGGAAAAGAGGAAGGCCAAGGAACACATTACGCCGAGAAATAGAGAAAGACATAAGAAGAAGAATGAACAAACATTGGACAGAACTAGAAAGGGAACTCCAGGACAGAGTAGGCTGGTGAAAACTGGTCGGCAGCTTATGGGTGTAACAGGCGAAAGTAAGTTAGCCATATATATATAAGTAAAAATACTATAACTGTGTGTTTTTTAGGGTCAAGTATAATTTTGATGCTTTAAAACTTCATGAAAAAACAAACAATCAAACTGTTCAAATCAACAATAAACCCCCGGTAATTCATCACTTAGATTATTAACAAGAAATGAATAATTCAACTTTTTCCTTTTTTTTTTAAATTTTATGCGAAAATAACTGCAAACAAAAAATTCCCTTTTCACCTTTGATTTCAATAAAACAATTATTTCTTTTTAAAAAAATTATGAATAAATAAATGAAAAATACTACCACGAATAATGTTTACGCTTAGTTTATCTTTTTTCTTGTTGTTGTTGTTAACGTTATAATTTGTTTATTTGAAAGAATTTCTAATTGGAAATTATATTGATCATAAATTTTCAATCTCACAATATAAACTCAGTCAGTCAGTCAGTCAGATGCAATGTAGAACTTCGTACGTACGTACGTACATCAGTTCATGTTGCCATACCACATTATTAGCACACAGAGATGTAATTGTCAATTCAAATCCAATAGTAGAAGAGGAAGTAAAGGTATTATAGAAGTAATCGAAGAGGTTAGGATTAGAAGATATTATTCAAAAAGTATGATGATTCAGTGAGAAAAGTTTAGAAAGTCAAAACTAGAGGTGTTCAAAGAATTCAGAAGATTAGGATTTGAGAGAACACAAAGAATAAATGCACCGATATAAACTAGAGGAATAACATTTCATTGATAGAGTTTGAAAGATTGTTTTAGTGAATAAATGCATTGATCAATGTTAGACCATTAGACATTAGAAACTTGTAAGTATTGAAAAGCCGTTTCTTCTGAGTATTGGATTCGTTAGCAGTGTGAGTCCACTATCTCGGCACGCGTGGGAATCGAACCTAGGACCTTTGAATTTGCGCCAGAATGATTAACTTTTAGACCAATGTGTTGGCATCTAACGGTGTTAATATCTTACTTCATACACTTCACGTTCTTGTGTAACATCAACCATTGTCTGTGGGGTGCACTACTTCACATCCGATAGCGTTAAGTCCACTGGTTATGACTTTTTACTATGACTCTGAGAGGTGTTAGGAGGTGTAGGAATGATTTGATTGTCATCGATTTGGTCTCATCTTCTGTTACGTGTATGAGAGAGCATGTCACTTTCCGGCCGTCCACACCATGGAAGATACAACGATTTAATTATCTAACTTTTCAGGAATTGACCTTCTAATACGAGATTCGTTTGTTGACTTAGAGTATGCCTATGACATAGTTCTGTTTGATGAAGACGCTGACAAAATGCAGAGTATTCTGACCACTCTAAACACTAATAATAGCATATTTGGGATGTTTCTCCCAGTCCAAATGCAAAATGTTGATTCAGGATTGGCTTGTATCGTCACCTGAATTAGTGATAGGGAACGAAGTAGCTGAGCATGTCGACTGCTTCACTTATCTCGGGAGTCGCATCAGTACTGATAGCCTAGTGACTGATGAAATTTCCGCACAAATAGAGAAGGCTCGATTGGCTTCTGCCAACCTGCGTCACTTATGGCATAGGTGTGATATCCATCTGCTTGCTATAGGACGGGTTTACTGTGCAGAAGCTCTCTCTGTCCTACTTTATAGGTGTGAAACATGGTCAGTCAGAGTAGAAAAAATTCGTAGGTTTCTTGTTTTCGATCATAGGTGTCTCCGCAGCATTGCTCGCATATCCTAGGACAACCGAGTAAGCAATGCTGTTATTAGGAAACGGTTTTACTAGGTAAGGATGGCAGATCAATAGATGAAGTATTAAAACTTCATTATGGAAGAAAGCTAGATGCGGCCAGAGCAAAACATGGAGCAAATTCAGGAAGTTACTGACAAGCGGACTAAGCCATGTTAGTCGGTGTAGATCACCAAGTTGGGGTCCGCGAGGCAATAGTAACCGATGGTTAGGGACTATGAATGTCATGGCTGAAAATCGTTTGCAATGGTGCGGGTGCATCCTCTCCTTGTCTTCTCTCAAATTCTAATCTTCTGGATTCCTCAACATCTTATTTCTCTTTTTCAGTTCATTTCACTCGACTATACTTCTCGAATCAAAACTTCGAACCCTAATCTTTCGTATCATTGCTCATACGTCTACTACATCTACTACTATGGGATTTAAACTGACAACTGGATCTCTGGGTACTAATGTGGTATGGCCACTTGAATTGATGTACGTACTTAAGAAGTTGTACATTGTAACTGACTGACTAACTGACTGAGAACTAGAAGCTAGTCACTAGTGAACATATTTTATGGTTTTCAATATAAAGTTATGAAGATTTTTGAGTTTCATTAAAATCATGAATCGATCATTGTTAGATCACCATTGGAAGCCTGGAAGCACTAGGAGGCCGTTTTGTACTAGTATGGGGCTCATCAGCTGTGCTTACTGGTTTAGAGGTTATGCACTCGTACACAATACCGAAGGTCAAAGGTTCGATCCCTAAACGTGAGTTCGTTCACGCTCACTGCTGGTGAGTCCCTTAGTAGGAAAAAAGGCTATCCAGTGTTTCGAGATATGACATATTAGTTGGAGTCCTAACTGTCAATGATACGATTCAACCAACCAATACAAATGAATTCAACTTCACAACATTGGCCAATCAACAGATGTCTGTATTCAGTGACTCAGTGGACATTACGATGGTGTTTTAAGCTATTCTTATTGTGTCTGAGTCTCACCCATGGGATGCAAGTACATTTAGTTAACTAGTTATTATTTTATTAGAAATTCAGTAGGTTTTAAGTAAAATACTACGTACTACTGATTCACATGGCATTAAACTGTCAGTAGTCATTCTTGTGTAATCAGGTTTAAATATAATTCAGTACTTAAATAACATTTTTGCTACAATAATTGTTGACGTAGGCATCATTGCAGACTTTAATAAATATCAGATACTGAGAGGTAAGTAATAGAAATCTGTGGATTTTGGATTTCTTTCAGGTTGACATTTATCCAAAGACTCTACTAGAATATAAACATTATCATAATCTTCAACAGCAACGTAGAACTTTGCACGTAAGTACAGTAGTTCAAGCTGCCATACCACATTAGCATAGAGAGATGCTATTGTCATTTCAAATCCCATAGTAATAGAGGTAGTAAAAGTATTAGAAGTAATCGGAGAAATTAGGGTTAGAAGATGTGTTAGGATATTCATGCAATATCCTAAGAGAATTATTTGTCAATTCCTCCTGGCCACTTTTATGGTCGTCCTAGATATCAATGTCATGTACTCCAATGTTGTTTCTTATTGGTTGTCCTGACTGTCAGTGTCACTTCAGATGTTGCTTCCTATTGGTTGCCTTAACTGTCAATGTCACAGACTTTGATGCTGTTTCCTATTCGACCAAAATGTATAAATACGCATTATCTGTAACGTTTTATGACCACGACTAGGACCAGGACCCGGTCCCGGATCCCTAGTCCGGGATTCTGATTCTCTTCTGGATTCGGACCTCGTACTTTCTGGATGCTTGTAGAATACAGGTTCTACTTCACATTGAAGTTTTCTTATTTTTACTCAATGTGGTGGTTCGGATAATCAGATTTGAGTAGCATGTCGTGTCACCGGATCCTCGATCCTCGCTCTCGCGTTTCCGACTAGGTAAACTCGTAATAGTTGACGTGTTTACGCGGAGGCGTAACAAGATGTTATTCAAGAAGTATTATTCAGTAAGGTAAATTTATAAAGAGAAAGATGGTGGAGGTGATCAGTAATTCAGAAGGTTAGCATTTCATAGAACACAAACAGTAAATGGACCTGTGCCATTACAAACGGTTTTGAGCCATATCTTTAACCATCGATTATTATCATCTTGTAGACCCGAAACTTCAAGATTTCTTGGAATCCCATGTAGAGAACTAGCCATTTGACTAGTCGAATAGAATTCTATTGATTAAACCTGTTATTCAAACCCAATTCACTTCATGCAAGCAACGTTAAAATCAACGAAACACATTGATACAATCAATCAATCAACTAACTTACAATACCAAGTTTCGTTGCAAGATTTGGACCAAACACTGTATAAGCTGTTTCAAGTGAACCAGCAGCAGCAATCAGCAAACATGCAGTTAAACGTATCGGTTTCGATGCAGGACCTTCAGATCCTTTCAATAATGTAGTAGTAGTAGTAGTAGTAGTGGTACATTGTTTGGTGGATTTCAATTTCATTGCATGTTCACATGTTAATTCAGTTGGAACAGTTGAATGCACAGTGATGTATAATTCAATGATGGTTGATTGATGATAATGATGACTAGTAGAAAATTTATTGGCATGAATATTACTACTACTAATATTGTTATCATAAGTAGTGAGGGGTGATTGTTGTTGTGTTGTTGAATTATTGATTAATTTTTGAATATGATCTCGAATTGTTGATAATTTCAATATGGCATGATCTCCTGTTAATATGATGAATGAAAAAAAAATTATGATTCAAGGAAAAATCGAGTAAAAAAAACACAGTTTAGGATAAAAATTTTAGTAGATCAATTGGTTAATGATTAAAAATTTATTGAATATTGAGCATGAATAAATAAATTTGCAATGAGATATCAGTCAGTCAGTCAGATGCAACATAGAACTTCGTACGTAAATACATCAGTTCGTGTTGCCATACCACATCAGCACACAGATGTAATTGTCAATTCAAATCCAATAGTAGAAGAGGTAGTAAAGGTATTAGAAGTAATCGGAGAGGTCAGGATTAGAAGATATTATTCAAGAAGTATGATTCAGTGAGAAAAGTTTAGAAATTCAAAAACTAGAGGTGTTTAAGAATCCAGAAGATTTGGATTTGAGAGAACACAAAGAATAAATGCACTGGCGCCATTGCGAACGATTTTGAGCCATGTCATTCAAGGTCTCTAACCATCGATTATTATCATCTCGCGGACCCCAACCAGGTAGTCAACACCTATCGACATGGCTCAGTTCACTTGTCAGTGACTCCATGGATTTCTGCCATGTTTTGGTCTGGCTGCCCCTAGCTTTCTTCCAACCTACGACTACACTACAAAACAAAGCTCGTCGAGGCAGTCGGTGGTTAGGCATACGCAACACATGTCCCAACCACCTCAACTGATGAAGTTTCACTACTTCATCTATTGATCTGCCATTCTTACCTAGCACCCGTTTCCTAATAACAGCGTTGCTCACTCGGTTGTCCCAGGATAAATGAGAAGTAAGCCCGTCCTTTAGTCAGCAAACGGATATCTCGTGATGCGACCACACAGGTACCTGATACCCTGGTGGACCGACAATGAGATTTATGTTTTAATGAATATATATATATAAATTAAAAGAATAGAAAGAAAGAAGTTATATTCAACAATTTTTCTCGAAAAGATATTTTCAAACTCTACAGTTGATAATTTTACATGATCGAGCGATGGAGATTGTTAAGTTTCATTGAACAAATAGTGGGATCAATGTTAAGACTATACCATTAGAAACTTGGAAGTACTGAGCGGACGTTTCATCCTAGTATGGGAATTTTCATCTGTGAGCTTGAACGACCCTACAGGTTAGAATCGAATCTAGGAACTTTGGTCTTGCGCATGAAGGCTTGATCTTGTTATGTTCGTCACTAGGTATTATGCTTGAAGCTATTACGAGTTCACCTCTCAGTCGATAAACGCGAACGAGACAAATACCAGCGTCCAGTTAGGCTATCTTGAAATAATCTTATCCTCATCTGAATTTTCAGGGGTAGACCTAATACCCGGTGGCTCGCTAACTGACTTAGAATATATCGATGACATAGTCCTACTTGGTGAAGACGCTGGCAAAATGCAGAGTCGTCTGACCACCCTAAGCAACATTGCAAGCGTGTTCGAGGTTAGGGCGTTCGCGCATAATACCAAAGGTCCTGGGTTCGAATCCTGCGGTGTGTAGGAGTCGTGAATGCGCACTGCTGAGGAGTCCCATACCAGGACCAAACGGCCGTCCAATGCTTCCATGTTTCTAATGGAGTGGTCTAACATTGATCGATTCATGGTTTCAAAAAATGTGTAATTTAACAATCTTCACAAGCTCGTCATGCAAATTCATTATTGGTTGAGTTGAGAGGTCACATTGAAAAAACAGAAAAAAACAACTGTTTACATTGAAATAATATGTTCTAATCAATAGATGCATACGTGCTGTAATCGGTCAGTCAGTCAGATGCACCGTAGAACTTCCTATGTAAGTACACCAGTTCATGTCGCCATACCACATCAGTACAGAGAAGTAATTCTCAATTCAAATCCAATAGTAGTAGAGATAGTAAAGGTATTAGAAGTAATCGAAGAGGTTAGGATTAGGAGATATTATTCAAGAAGTATGATCCAATGGGAAAAGTTTAGAAAGTCAAAACTAGAGCTGTTGAAGAATCCAGAAGATTAGGATTTGAGAGAACACAAAGAATAAATGCACCGATGCCATTGCGAACGATTTTGAGCCATGTCATTCAAGGTCTCTAACCATCGATTATTATCATCTCGCGGACCCCAACCTTGTGTAGTCGACAACTACCGACATGGCTCAGTCCACTTGTCAATGACTTCATGGATTTCTGCCATGTTTTGATTTGGCCACCCCTAACGTGTTGTAATAATAATAATAATAATCATTTTTAATTGGTTTTTCATTTAAAATAAACAAAGATGAATATGTATGTATGTATGATGATAAAGGAATTGATGAAAATCTCATGAAAAATGAGTGTACAAAACATCATTAGAATGATAAGCAAAAAATATAATTAATATGTTAATATTAAACTGTCAAAATTGAACTACAATTAAGATGTCCTTATTTGTAAAAATGATTAAGGCGAAAGAAAGAAAGAGATTATATGTATGTATATCTCTCTTTGTTTGTTCTATATATATAAGTAAAACATATTTTTATTCAGCTAATAAAGAATATTTGAAATCATGAATCAATCACTGTTAGACCACCATTAGAAACCTGTAAGCGTTGGATGGCCATTTCGTCCTGGTATGTGACTCATCAGCAGTGCGCAACCACGACTCCTGCTCCTTGCAGGACGTGATCAATGGAGTTCAACCCTATCGAGTGTGAAGGGAGTACCTACCAAAGACAAATGCGTAAGGTCATGCAAAATCCCTAGATTGATTAGAGTTAGACATTAACACCGTCGGATGCCGTCCCAGTGGTCTGATGGTAAGACGTTCGCCTACAGTGCTGAAGGTCCCGGGTTCGAATCCTGCGAGGAGCAGGAGTCGTGGATGCGCACTGCTGATGAGTCACATACCAGGACGAAACGGCCGTCTAGTGCTCTTTCAGGTTTCTAATGGTGGTCTAACAATGATTGATTGATGATTTCAAATGTGTAAAAACACAAAACCTCCAAAACTCTGCCTTAAAAGATTATTTCAACTAATCATTAATAAATCATTGTTAGATCACCATTGGATACCTGAAAGAGCTGGACGGCTGACTCGTCCTAGTATGGGACTCATCAATAGTGCACATCCATGACTCCTGCTAGTCGTGGGATTTGAACTCAAGACCAAAGGTCTTGAGTGCATAAGCTTAACCTCTAAACCACTGGGCAGGCGGTATTCAACGGAGTCAACGTCTAACTCTGATCAATCTAAGGATTTTGCGCAACCTCACTGATTGTCTTCACCTGACAGGGTAGAACTCCACTGGTCACGGTTTTTCACTAGAAATCTGTGAATTTTCTTACGAAGCTAGTCACTTGTGAGACGACTAATTGGTCAAGGAGTTAATCATTAATCATCGTTAGCGCATAAAGTTGCCGTATTGAAATGATTAGTGTTATTGAAATAAGCCTTAAATACAACGAAATTTAAGTTCAATTCGTACACATCAAACTTTATAGATCCAGTTTCTGTTAGGTTCAAGAATTACTCTAAGTAAACTGAGTTCACTGCAAGATAAAAAGCAGGAAAATTCAACTTGGAAGAGTTAATGTGACGGTCTGCTTGACAGATTTATAAGAACGTCTAGTCAGTTGTTCAGTACATAAAACTATACAATTTTTTTGACTAACAGATATATATATATATATATATATATATATATATATATATATATACGTTTCTGTTACTCATTCACATAAACATATCATTTTGATATGCTTGAATTATTACGAGTTTACCTTAGTCAGAAAACGAGAGCGAGGATCGAGGATCCGACGACACGACATGCTACTCAAATCCGATTGTCCCAACCCCCATATTGAGTAAAAATAAGAAGACTTGATATGAAGTAGAACTTGTATTCTACAAGCATCCAGAAAGTACGAGGTCCGAGTCCAGAAGAAGACACGGATCCAGGACTGAGGATCCCTGTTCGGTTTCGGGTCATAAAATGTTGCAGATATTGCGTATTTATTCATTTAGGTCGAATAGGAAACAGCGTCGAAGTTTGTGACATTGACTGTGTACATATTAGTGAGTTCTACTGAATCACTCCAGAATATTTCATTCAAAGTGAATATATGATCATATACTCGACAATGTATCTACATTACTTCACTAAGGGCATTTATCCTAATCAATAATTCCTTGATTGATTTGAATGCTACATGTAAAATATGTCTGGCGTTCTCTTTGACTTTTTCATTAGTCTATAAATGACCGTGAGAACTAATAATGTGCACAGTGAATCCGATTATTTCCGATTCATATACCATTGAACTGTTGCAATGTATCGATGAAAGCTGACGAAACCATTTGGTTTAAGCATAGTGCTTTCTTTTCTTTCCAGAAACTATATAAATACATGTATAGTGTTTTATCATGATAAAAAAGGTCAGTCAGTCAATTACAACGTAGAATTTCGTACATATGTACATCAGTTCATGTTGCCATACGACATTAGCACAGAGATGTAACTGTCAGTTCGAATCCCATAGTAGTAGAAGTAGTAGAAGTATTAGCAGTAGTCAGAAATTTTGTCCCTTGGGCTCTGCGGTCACGCTCCCAGGTCTCTACGACCAACACTAATCTATCTTCCTTTTCAGGTCCATCAAGAAACAACCTTCCACGGTGTGGGCAGTCGGGAAGTGATAACCGCCCTCATACCCGTAACAGCACGCGAGACCGAATTGGTCAAAATCAAATCCTTCCTACACCCCCTAATATCTCTCTTATCTCCACGACTAACTCTTCTCACATTCCTTTATCACACTGTACAGCTAATGCAAACGAAGCGAGATCACGAAACGTCATTTCTGGTCTCCTGAAACCCCGGATACTAGGTAAGCATGGCATATCAATCGATGAAGTGGTGATACTTCATCAGTTGAGGTGGTTGGGACATGTGTTGCGTATGCCCAACCACCGACTGCCTCGTTGAGCTTTGTTTTTTAGTGTAGAAATAGGTTGGAAGAAAGTTAGGGGCGGCCAAATCAAAACATGGCAGAAATCCACGAAGTCATTGACGAGTGGACTTAGCCATGTCGGCAATTGTCGACTACCTGGTTGGGGTCCGCGAGATAATAATAATCGATGGTTAGAACCCTTGAATGTCATGGCTCAAAATCGTTTGCCATGGCGCCCGTGCATTTATTCTTTGTGTTCTCTCAAATCCTAATCTTCTGGATTCTTCAACGTCTCTAGTTTTGTCTTTCTAAACATTTCTCATTGCATGATACTGCTTGAATAATATCTTCTCAACCTAACCGCTTCGATTACTTCTAATACCCGTACTACCTCTTCTACTATTTTCATTTGTATTGACAATTACATCTCTGTGCTAATGTGGTATGGCAACACGAACTGATGTACTTACGTACAAAGTTCTACGTTGCATCTGACTGACTGACTGACCAGGTTACCATACCACATTAGCAGAGAGATGTAATCGTCAGTTCAAATCCTATAGTAGTAGCGGTAGTAGAAATATTAACAGTAATTGGAGAGATAAGAGTACGATGATATCATTCAAGAAGTTAGAATCTACTGTAATAAACCTAAAAAGAAAAAGATATAGGTTATAAGGAACTCCGAAAGTTAGAAATTGAGAGAACGCAAAGAATAAATGCACCGGCGCCATTGCATACGGTTTTGAGCCATGTCATTCAAGATCTCCAACCATCGATTACTATCATCTCATGGACCTTAACCGGGCAGTCTACATTTACCAACATAACTCAATCCAGTTGTCAGTGACTTCATGGATTTGTGCTATGTTTTGGTTTGACTGCCCTCAGGCTTTCTTCCAACCTACTTTAACATATTTCCATTGCGTTCCAAGAAAGATACATTTTAAATTCTTTTTTTTCAATTGACAATAATATTTCTTCTACTTAAAAAAGAGAAACAATTCACTTACTTGAAGCTCCATTCAATTCCATTATCGGTTGACCATTTAAACAAACAGTATATCCTTGTACTGGTAAACTATTCCCAGCACCGGCAGCTTTAATAGCATCAGCTGCTCCTTTATCTTGTGGTACTGGAAGCCATGTTATCAATAGCATACCATCTTGAGGTCCAGCCTCAATTTGTACATGACTTGGAGGATCTGGTAGACCTGAGTAAATTAAATTAAAAGTTTAGTAATATTTCTTGTTGTACTACAAATATTTACTCATTGAAGATAAAAAGAAATGATAAAAGTGTCACTAAATTATCACATGTTTCAAATCGGTTTTGATTACGCAATTGAAAATTTGATAGTTTTCAGTAATAGAGTTCTGGAGATTTGTAAGTTTCATAGGATTCTCATTAGCTTCGTAAGGT